TGATTTTCTTAGGGGGTCACACCCGGAGCCTATGACCTAAAAGTTTGATCCACAAGGCAGTAGAGCAACGTCAGGAGATGCAGTCACATGATAACCGGTGACCAACAATTAGTTAATACACCATTTTTTCCTTCAGGATCCTGAAGTCCATGTGCACCATTGGTTTGGAATCGGGGTATTACAACTCTCCTAGTTGGACCCTCCACATCCACCAACACGGTTAAAGCGCCGGACATTCGCTTTTCGTTCTCTCGATTTCGTAAACAACAGTAATGCCGTGAGAAGGCAGTGAGTAGGACTTCCCTGGCAGTGGTTGTATGCACGTGTTCATGTTAGAGCATTTCGAGAGGGAGCGCTGACTCTCCCCACTCTGGGCCGTATCAGGGAATTCGGGGGCATCTGAATTATACGAATCAATTACCAGTAACTAAACGTATCTGTTTAAGTTTACAGATAAAACTCATGACTGACCCAATTAAAGGCCTTCTAAACGTTGTGATATATAATATTTGCCTTACCTTTGCAATCGCGAATGTTGGTCGAGGTAACCAACACTCATTAGATTCGCAATACAAGAGTGACCCTTCTTGATATCCCTTCATTGTTGGTAAGAAGAATGTCTAGATGTCCAAAACAAGTTAAAAGCTAATGACTTTAAAAATTTGCACATAAGGTAAATGATATTGTTATCAGAAGTGTATCTTTTCCAGTGACTGAGAACGGAAATTTGTTTTTAACGACGATTCATTATCTAATACCAAAAGCCTTGTCAAAGTAATATTCTATTACTTTGGCACATTTTTTGTCTTTTCATTTAACAACAAGAAATTAAAAGTGGCGAAATAAGTTTTATTGATAGAAATTGATAGTAATTAGTCTATCTAGTGTCGTTCTCGATCGAAGCTGCTACCTTGACGCGGTGGTCGGGCTTGCCTATCGTGATGACCCAACCGAGCTATATTGGCTGGAACATATGTTCCTGCAGGTTCTACCATGCCAGGCAGGTCGATTGGCGAACGGTAAGACTAAAAGCAGCAACTCAAGGTCTGAGGGCGAAGTCGTACTGCTGACTGTAGAGAGATGTGACGGCAGTAAGGTGTTTCCCTCAGATAACCAGCATCTGTAGCGATGCTGTCTTCCCACAAGGAGGGGTGAGGTTAGAAAAGGTCGACCCTAAAAATGCACACCTTACCTTACCTCACGGATTTCCGTCTCCGGCGGTAAGGCCCTTTGAAGAACGGAGCTAACACATTAAAAACCTTCCACAAAAAGGCCGTGCGCGACCGGCCCCAATCAGTTGTCCCTTGGGCTCTGCGGTCACGCTCCCAGGTCGTCAAGACCAACACTAATCCAATTTCCTTTTCAGGTTCCTCAAGAAATACCCTTCCACGGTGTGGGCAGCCGGGAAGTGACATCAGCCCTCATACCCGTAACAGCACACGAGACCAAGTTGGTCACATTCAAATCCTTCCTACACCTCCTAATACCTCTCTTACCTCCCCGACTAACCCTCTTCACGTCTCTTTATCACCTCGCACCGCTAGGGCAAACGATTCGAGTACGTGGAACGCCATTCCTGGTCTCCTGAAACCACGCTCTAAACTACACGTAGTAGCTTTTAACGTCCGAACACTATGCCAAATAGGACAGCAGGCTTCCTTAGCTAAAACTTTAGAATCTCGCGCCATCGATGTGTGCTGCGTCTCCGAAACGCGCATACAGGATCCGAGTAGCGTCATTCATTTGACCTCACCATGCCAAAATAAAGAACCGACTCGATTTACGCTTCGTGTATCTGGAAGCCCTGATTCTGCTTCCCGTGGCCTCGCCGGTGTAGATATAGCATTGAGTCCTAGGGCAGAACTAGCTCTCTTAGAGTGGATCCCAGTAAACAGTCGTTTGTGCGCTGTCCGACTAAACGGAACAGTAAGAATCCGGAAAGATAGGGACACTCGTCGTTGCCTCTTCATCGTCTCTGCCTATTCTCCCACTGCCTGCAGCTCAGATAATGTAAAAGATGAGTTTCACAGAAAGCTTTCGGACCTTCTCCGAAAAGCTAAGCGTTCGGATGTAGTAATGGTGGCCGGTGACTTTAATGCTCAAGTAGGTAAACTAAGCGATAGAAAAAGACACCTAGGTGGATCTTATGGTGTCGTGGCTCAAAGAACAGATAATGGCGACCATCTGTTGCAGCTATGCTCAGATAACCACGTGTTCCTTGCAAATACTAACTTTAAGCATAAGGAAAAACATCTTTTAGTACGGCGACCCCCTAATTCGTCCCAACGTTGGACCCACATAGATCACACCGCTATCAGCCACCGATGGAGGGGCTCGATAGAAGACTGTCGCTCATTCTGGAGCACATGCTTAGATTCAGATCATGCTCTAGTGCGAGCGCGTATTTGCTTGCGTCTTACTGGACGTAGGAAAGATGCTGCAAGGAAACCTCTTAGGGCCTACTTAATGATAGTCAAGCTAAGAGTATGTTTCAGGAACAACTAGGAAAACAGTTAGGCAGCCATGTATGTGATGCCCACCCCGAGGCGGCATGGAATGATATCCGAAAAGCTGTGGAAACAGCAGTGATATCTGCTAGTAAGGTAAACCAGAAGGTTAGTGAGCAACACTGGATCTCAGCAGCATCTATCTCACTGATAAATGCTCGGAAACACATTCCACCTGGCTCTGAACATAATGAAGAGCGGAGTCAGCTTAAGCGCAAGCTGACAAGAAGTCTACGCAATGATCGCGAACAGTGGTGGGTAGCGAAAGCAAGAGAGATGGAAAGGGCAGCGGCAATAGGTAATAGCAGACAATTGTTTAGAGTCGTTAAGGAAACCGGAATTAGGAACCCGATCGTTAGCGAAACAATCTCAGAGAAAGATGGACATATTATTCATTCTCAATCCAGGAGATTGGATCGATGGGCAGAACACTTTAGGGATCAGTTCAACTGGCCTTCAGCCACACTTCGGTTTCCCACGATCTCCAGTCAACCTGAATGGCAAGTTAATGTAGGTCCTCCGTCCCTTTACGAAGTTGAAAAAGCCATAGGAAATCTGAAACGAGGGAGAGCAGCAGGCCCTGACAGGTTTACTGCTGAGATTTTTAAGGATGGTGGTCCAGTATTAGCAATGAGATTAACCGAGGTCTTAGGTAGAATTTGGGAACTGGACGTAATCCCATCTGACTGGTCTCAATCACTGATTGTGCCAGTCTATAAGAAAGGACAAAAGTCCTCTTGTGACAATCACAGAGGAATCAGTTTGACTAATATAGTGTCTAAAATATTAGCCTCAATAATACTTCGACGCCTAACTAAAGCTCGTGAAGAGCAGACTAGAGAAAACCAGACTGGTTTTCGACCTGGACGTGGTTGTATAGATCAGATATTCACACTACGTCAGGTTCTAGAACACAGACACACATTCAGACGCCCCACAATGGTAGTATTTCTCGATCTTAAGGCAGCATTCGACTCTATTGATCGTGAGGTTCTATGGCAGTGTTTTTCATTGAAAGGAGTACCAAAGAAGTACATTACCTTATAAAGGCTCTCTACTCGAACACAACTGGTCAAGTGAGAGCTTATGGCGAACTGTCATCAGAATTGATTACCTCAAGTGGTGTTCGTCAGGGCTGTCCACTCTCCCCATTCTTGTTCAACTTTGTCGTTGACGTGCCTTTAGAGATAGTGGTTTCCTCATCTAAATTTCCAGGGGTTGAACTTCTACCAGGAGATTCACTTGTTGACTTAGAATATGCTGATGACATAGTTTTATTTGCTGTAGACGCTGACAAAATGCAGAGTCTTCTGACCACTCTAAGCAACAATGCAAGCATGTTCGGGATGCGATTTTCTCCCTCGAAATGCAAAATGTTGCTTCAGGATTGAGTTACATCGACACCCGAATTAGTGATAGGGAGTGAAGTAGTTGAGTGTGTCGACCGCTTCACTTATCTTTTAAGTCTCATCGGCCCTTGTGGTTTAGTGTGTGACGAAATCTCAGCACGGATACAGAAGGCTCGACTAGCTTTTGCCAACTTGCGTCATTTATGGCGTAGGCGAGATATCCGTCTATCAACCAAAGGACGTGTTTACTGCGCAGCAGTTCGTTCCGTCCTACTTTATGGCAGTGAAACATGGCCGGTAAGAGTAGAGGATATCCGTAGGTTACTAGTATTTGATCATAGGTGTCTTCGAAACATTGCTCGTATATCATGGGACCATCGAGTATGTAACACGGTTGTTAGGAAACGGGTACTAGGTAAGGATGGCAAATCAATTGATGAAGTAGTGAAACTTCATCAGTTGAGATGGCTGGGACACGTGTTACGTATGCCCAACGACCGACTGACTGACTGACTAGTGTCGTTCAAGTAAAAAAGTACATTAATAATTGCTTACAAATATTATGCTTCATGACTGATGCCGTAAATAGTTTCACCGGAATAGTTAATGGGATATCAAGTTTCTTTATCTGAGTGAAAGATAGTTGCTAAGTTGATCCTTTTGAAATCCTGTGATCCATCATCTCTTACTAGTTCAGTTTTATAATTTTAGCTTTTCGTATTTAACACAGTTTTACGTAATTTGATAAACACTTTAAACCTTCATTTTATATTTGTTCACATTCACTATCAAAACCTATGTGAATCAGTAAGGAAACTCATGTTTTCCGGTAACACATTTAGATACCTAGAGCTCAGTCGTATCTTCTACATATCTGAATCACAGGAACATAAAGACGGCAAGAATATAAAATGGTCTATAGTAATTATATTGAGTACTAAACAACGACATTCGTTTGACCGAGTTGTAAGACCAAGAATCAAATCAGATGGAGAGCTGTGACAGCTCAAAGTACAAAACTTCACCTGAGATACAAATCTCCATTTTAAAACTCATTCTTTGTTTCACAGGTTCTCCTGATCAGATTTTTATAAGTTCTTATATTTCTTATTGTTCTTTACACCATTTTGTTGGTTCCTTTTAGCATTTGTGGTCTACAGTTTTCTAAGTTTGTGTTATGAATATCTCGGTGGAGAAAGTTGCATTCTGTCGGAAATTCGTGGTCGTGAGTTACCGTAAGTTAATAATTGAGGGTTAAATGAATTTTGTTTTTATCCTGTAGTTATAGTTCAGGTCATTGTGCTTCAATTATTGCTTAGCTGAAAGAGCTGAGTTTTCAGACAACTTCTGAGGTACTTTGCACCGATTGTGCGAATTAAGTATCTGCTGTTTAGTTCACTTTAATAGATTAACCGAACATTCTGATTTTTGTATCTGCGTGTGCTTAGTTCCTATCAACTCATGTCTTTTGTTGTTTATTTCTACCTTCATCATTTCACTCTATATCAGGAATCGCAACTTTATAAATATAGATTTTTTTCTAGCAAATATGTTTTGTGCAAATGTTCACGTCATTGTCTGAGTGCTTATTCCAAAGTAGGGGGTCGAGGTTTGAATGTGAAATCCAGTGGTTGAAAGTTGACTATTTCAATCACTAGGCCACCTTGTCACGTTTCAGTGGGATAATTTTCGCCCTGAATTCTGTGGTTTAAATGTTATTCAGTTGTGAAGAATTCATAGGAGTGACAGCATTTTATCTTGTGAATAACTAGTGGTGTTTATTCCAATATTAATATTTTTGTGTTTTAGTTAAGAAACAAGAATATACGAAGGTTTATAATCGGTTGTTTCGAAATCCATCCCTTATTGGTTTAAAAAAAAATCAATTTAGAACCTTTTCACTACTACCTAATTCAGTTTAGCCAAGTCGGGAAGTATCGCTAGTTCTAACACAAAACGATTAGTTAAAGACTCATCGAAACCCTAGAACCATGATTTAGTAAATGTTAATATTATTATGTAAGGTACACAACTATGGTTGGAAATTTGTTCAGGGAAGCTTTGATTCTGATGTCGTTTTCGTTGATATTTGATTGGAAACAAAGTAATAATTCTAGAAAGCAAATATTACTTCTGTTTCATCCATTTACGCTTGGTGACGTAGACCCGTCCCTTTTTTCGTTTTATATGAAGAAAAGTCATGATGTATCACAAGATGGTGAAAAAAAAACAAATATTGGTCAGGCTAATAAACTGGTTCACTTGATATTGTTTTACTTGAATCTTCCCATTGATGTTTTAGGACTGCAATTGATCAGTCTCTTATTGGCATATGTGCATACTGTGCGTATGCCTCGATATTGTCTTAATTTACAAGCATTATAAGCAAAGATGGATAACGGCTAACAGTGGAATCTAGGACGCGCGTTTCGTTCTGTTTGGGACTCGTCAGCTGGGTGTACCTGCATCTCAGAGTTGATGTTCACTCTGGGACTCGAACTCAGTACCGTTCACTTCAAACGCCATCACATTATCCACTTAGCTACTGAGTCCTGATAGCCACTTGCTTGTGCAATAAACTGGTTGTTTATAAATTTTGTCTAAAGACATTGATTATCAAACTAACGTGTCACGAGGCATGAACTTCCTGGTTGAGACACACCTAATAACCATGATCAGTGGTCGAAAACTTTGGTGGTGACGTGACTCAGAGTCGATTGTGGAGACATAAATGTTCTCGTTCCTTATCTTACGTTAAATATTCAGTTTTAATATTATTCCATACTTTGATTAATCAGTCCCATCTGTTCTTTTCAAACTATATTCACCAGTTTTAGTTTGTCTTTCACAAACAGACGTTAATGTTTCTTTTACTTCTCTGGTATACATCTTGTTACTTTTCTCTAAATGTCTTGATGTGAAGTGTTACAACGTTGGTTAATTCACATTTATGTCACTTCAGACGACGGTATTTATGTATGAGTAACTTATGAATGCTTTATTTCGCATTCGACTTGTTAATAGAACGAAACGATAGTCAGTAACACAACACCAGGACAAGCTAAGCTATTCCACTGCGCTCCAGCCCTTCTAACTACGGGGAGAAGACCAGATTCAGCTAGGGGAAAAGTATGTATTCTATAAGCAGTCGGAAGTACGAATGAACAAGCACACAACTTATGCATATATATACAGTACTAAAAAGAGGGAACGAACCAATGATATTTAAGGTCCTTCCAAGTGGGAAATACAAACTGAAGGTAAAAGTGTGCGAATTTGGCGCGAAAATGAGAAATTCAAATTTTAAAAATAAAGTTACAAAGATATGACGTTTACCAAGTGATTTCTAGGGATCTAGCATCCAGAACAATTACTGAGTTAGGCTTTTATCATTCTCTTTCATCAAGGAGTGCCTGGAACATATGTTCCTCAAATACTTTCGCATTCGACTTCTTAAACTTTCATAATTATTGACTCAATATATGTGAAGTCCGCCTGATGATATATTTGGTTACCATCAGTATCATTGAATTATTTATGAAATATATATATATATCTGTTTACCTTATTTGTGCGAAACTAGTAACTAAACTTAGTTAAGACAGCTTCTTCCCTGTCACTAATTCTTTCACACATTTTTTTAGGCGATCATGGGGATTTTGTACTTGTTGCTTTTATAATCAAACGTATACAATTGAGTTTCTGCGATTTTGCAAACAGGTATGGTTTTTAATAAATTTAACTTTTGAATTCATTATAACCTCATACGTCTTTTTGAGAGTGTAAAATAGGGATAGGGGGAAATGAAAGTTGACAGAACAACAGTATTAAATAGAGGGAATATGATAACTTGAATAACAATTTATTATTTTTCTAGCCTTACCACACTCAAACTTTTCATACACTGGTTTATATTAAATCTATACGTATACGTTGATCAAGGGAAAACTGAGAAGGCAAGGAGTGGTGTGTTGAGTTTTCGCTTGTTTTCTAGCTGATACCTAATTAAATAATCACCCAATTATCAATAATGACCGACATTGGAAGGTGGGTTTTTCAAAGGTTAGTAGCCGATCATTCACCTTTCAATAAATAACGTCGTCTGAAGTGGCACAAATGTGAATTAACCAACGTTGTAACACTTCACATCAAGACATTTAGAGAAAAGTAACAAGATGTATACCAGAGAAGTAAAAGAAACATTAACGTCTGTTTGTGAAAGACAAACTAAAACTGGTGAATATAGTTTGAAAAGAACAGATGGGACTGATTAATCAAAGTATGGAATAATATTAAAACTGAATATTTAACGTAAAATAAGGAACTAGGAGTTGAACTCCAATTAATCGAGAGAGCGTCGGCTTGACCAATAGTATTTGTCGACTGATACTTGATACTGGAATCATAGCTCAGGAGCATTGTTGCATAGCGCTGTAATCTACTAGCCGTATAGACAGGGATTCCTTTCTTAGAACCAAAGATTGCAATCAATGGTTTGTGATCTGTCAGTAGAGTAAACGTACGACCATAGAGCATTTTATGAAATCTTTTGACAGAAGCTTTGAGCTAAGCATTGATTTGACTCGATCGATAGATGCTTGACATTCTGCCAAGGTTTATCTTTTGATAGTAATTCATTCAGGGGACCTCTCACTCGATGTATTTCAGGCAAGAATGTGCTGTATTAACTGATTAACCCCAAGAAGGATCTTAATGAAGGGACATCAGTTGGTGCAGGCATCCTCTGAATGGCTTCGATGTTGGCAGGGTCTGGTCGGCGACCGTTTTTTATCTAAGATGAAACTGTAATTCACCAACCAGTTTTAGCACACCACCTGATGTGTTTTTATCCGTTTGCTTAGATGGCTGCATTGGCGATTTACCCGGTAAGTTATACGTTTCTCTAGACACTAAGGTGATATATGATGCCGTGTCAATTTGAAGACGAGCTGATATCTGGATGGTAATATACTTTCTCCGAATGTCAAAGTTTGTTCGAAAGGCAGCTACCAGAGATAGATATTTAGACTCGGCTGATTTCATATGTCGAGGACGTTTATGCTTCTTCTTGGGTTGAGGCGTACGCTTCGGTGGACGATGACCTTCTTTATGTCCACGTTTGTTGCACACCTGACATTTATGTTTCTTAAATGGACAGATTCATACATAATGCCAATCATCACATAACCAGCATGCAGTCGTTGGCTCGTTACGAGTTGTTATCGGCTTCTGGACTTTTAACCTAGTAATAGCATTGACACTACTGCAGGTTAAATCAGGATTTACCTGTTCAATTAACTCGTCGTGTCCGATGTTTTGTAGCCGCTTATATTCATCTGTCAATGTCCTGAGTGAGACGTCTGGGTCTTGATGCAGTCGAGTCAAAAGTCTAGTCCTGATCTCAGCATCTTGTGGTGACTGAAGAGCTTTGATGAATATTAAACATTTAAATTGGTCTTCCATCAACGAGCGTAACTTGAACCGTTTGCACTCTCTGTTGATGACGTCTGATAAAGCAGACTTCGCTTCTCACCAAATTTAGATACCGATACCGAATACTAAACAATGAGGATGATTCACAGAATATCTCTGATAGTTGTGTTACTGTCTCCTCGAAACTGAGCTCTCGAGGTAACTTTGGCAATATATGGTCAGCATAACGTGCATGTTCATCGCTTCCCAACGTATGTACCAACAATCGAGTCTTCCACGCGTCGTCTTGTTTACAGGATTCTATTCTAAATGTATCTTCCCAACGTTTGAACCACGTGAGAAAAGTATTTCCACTTTCGGGATCATATATGAATTCTGGGATGCTGCTAGCAACTGCATCACAAGACGTACTTGAAATATCATGTGAACTCGAGCAGTGGATATTGAGCTGTTGAGTCAGTCTCCAACAACCACATTTGTGCATCAAGTTCTGTTTGCTGTTGTTGTAGTATTCGGTTGTGCTGGTCATCTGATATGGGCATCTTGAATTTGTTTTTCTTCTTCCTTGTCACAACTGTTATAATTCTCTCTTATTGCATAGTATTCTCGGACACAAATTCACTCGATATGTCACTAAATCAGAACACGATTGAACAGGAAAGAGATTATATTCCAAGCAACAAGGTTAGATGGAAGTAAGAAGTACAATAAGAAAAACGTTAGTATATTTGTACTTTTTACACGAGAAGATTCTAGAGTGTTCTCCAAGCATCGACTAGCGTTGATTGGATAGAAATCAGCCAATCGGCGTGCACCAAAGCAATCGTGCATTGAGCATGCTTTAATCCAATCTATGTCCCTCTAACACCCGGCTCCCAGAACCGAAACAGTTGAAGCAAGGTTCGAACCTGTCACTCACTGGTTGAAAGTTTATTTATTTGACCAGTGTGTCACTTTTCAACTCTTAAACTATGGTAAACATTTCGACGGTTTCTTATTTCTGATGTCTTTCCAGTTGAAATGGAAACTACCTATTCTAGAGATCATTCTTCTATGTGGAGTTATGTAAATTGAGAACGGTTTATTTAACAATTTAGGATCTCTAATTAATACATTTTATGCTATCGATTTTCAAAAATTTGTTGAATTCAGAAAACTAGTGTAAGGCTTTGCAATTTAAGAAATCTACTCAACTATATGTTTATTTAATTCCTAAATTTCGTACTAAAACCACTATAATTTTCTGTTGGTGGTAAATAATTTTAGCATATTCTGAACAAATATGACTTAATTCTTGTTAATTGTCATCAATATTCCACTGGTTGAACGAATTGCTTAATAAGCATTTCACTGATGTTGTTTATTTTACGTTGTACAGTAAATCATACTTTGTTCCATTTTCACATATTGTAAACTTTTCTGATAAGTATTGAAATGAAATTAACATGTATTTTTGCGGCGAAACAGGACTTTTGGATCCTGAGTTTTTAATTATTCATTTTTATTTATTTCATTAGGCAACTTTACAGTTTTGTGTGATTAAACCGTTGACATCAATTGTAACTATTATTCTACAAGCTGTTGGCGTATATAAACATGGAATTTTCAGGTAATTTAATCATTAATAACTGTAACGGTTACATAATGTGGGGACAGTTTCCACATGCACGGTATTAGTGGTTTATTCATTTTGTGGCTGTAGAAATTATCGGCACTGACTTAGTTGTCTTATGGTGATAGAAATTAAACTCAGTTCGACTTCATGCGTTGTAATAAAACCGTGATAAAACCTAATTTCAAATCAGAGATGTAAACAGTTGTAAGGAATCTAGGTTAGGTTTGTCATCTGGGGAGAGATGTAACGATATAAACGATCTCAAGTCACTGACTGGTCGAAAGTTGAATGCTACCACTGAATAATTATACTGAAACAGTCTTTGTGAGACGTAAACCATTTAAACTGACCTTGGAAGTTCTCATATTCCTGCAGATCAGACAACGGAACGGGATGGTTATGTCTTTAGAAAGTCTTAACATTGATGTCTGTTGTCTATCTGAGACTTGTATTCAAGACTAATGAAGTACCACGGATTCCCTCTCCACCGGTCACTTTGAAAAGCTTGTTTCACGTGCATTTATCCGGGGATCCTGTGGCAGCTTCGTTTGGTTTAGCTGGCGTTGGTGTCATACTAAGCGCTAGAGCTGAGGCAGCCCTGATCGATTGGATCCCCACTAATAGTCGGTTATGTGCTGTTAGATTAGAAAGTTCCATCAAAGTAAGAAGAAATCGGTGTGAGAAACGATGCTTTTTCGTTATAGATGAGCAATCGTTGCAATTGCATAACGTCATGAAAATGGCGAGTAAAGTCGCTTGCGACTTCGCGAAGCATCCTACTTATATGCACTGGGTATCTTCAGGCTCCTTACAACTCATTGAAGCCCGTCGGCCTACTCCTGCCAACCTCAAGTTTGACAATAAACGTAGATAAATTGTATAAAACGTGCGTAAGGACCGGAAAGCTTGATACTTCCAGTGTGCTGACGAGATGAAAGCAGTAGCTGCACCTGGTGACTACCAGAAGCTCTTTTAACTCATCCGAGTCACTAGCAGTAAGAAATCTGGTGTGAGTAAAGTAATCTGTAAACCCGAAGGCATGTCTTTATGACACCTACGAACGCCTTGGACGGTGGGCAGAATTTTTCAAGTAACAGTTCAGCTGATCAGCTACCCCGGCAACATCAGTCAAACTGTATTCTCCTCCATGGTCTGTGACGACTGATCCACCTAACGAAGCTGAAGTTCGCAAAGATTTCCAGCTCTTGGAGTGCTACAAATTAGCGGTCCCAGATGACTTACCTCCGGCTCTTTCTAAAGATAATGGTGACTTTATGGTTACGTAAGTGACTGAGCTGTTTGCAAAGGTTTGGTAATTAGTGTTCCAACGTAATGGGATGAGTCTATAGTTTTTCTTGTCTTTGGAAAGGGTTCACGTCGTTTCTGTAACAACTATCGGGGGATAATTCTACTTCCGATTGCGTCCAAGCTATTGGCTTCCGTCATACTTCGTAGGTTGTTCAAAACCTGAGAGAGATTGACTCGCGAGGAGCAGGCTGGTTTTCGTTCTGATCGAGTATGTATTGATGATATCTTCACCCTTCGCCAAATGTTGTAACACTGTCATACTTATCACAGGCCGACAGTCGTAGTGTTGACATCAGGACTGTTCTCTGGCATGGTCTATTGAAGAAGTGTGCGCCTGAACAGTTTACTAACACGTCGAAGGCCCTATATGCAAATACCTCAGGCAGAGTGAGGGCATACAACCACCACCTCCACTGTTTCATTCAAGCTGTGAATTCAGTGAGGGTTGCCCTACCTCACCATTCCTCTTCAACTTTGCCATCGATGACGTTCTGGGAGCAACTCTGGTGGATGTAGAAAATAGTAGTGTAGATTTGTTTCCTAGAGAAGGACTTTTCGACCTTGAGTATGCGGATGATATTGTCTTACTTTGCGATGATACTCAAGCCATTCAATCAACGCTTAATCAGTTGGCAATTAGTGTCCGTAGGTATGGTATCTGCTTCGCACCCTGATCCTCATGCTAATCTGGCACATCTTTGGCACCTTTGTTGTGGTGTGGTGTGCTACTTATATTGACATAAGTTGTATATGATGTTAGTTGTGAACAAAAGGTCTGGCAGCAGAGAGACAAGAGGCTCGAACAGTAAAGAATGAAAACAAAATGCAATTTCGATGAAAATACAAGAACAATGAAATCTGAGTCATTTTGAGAAAATTGGTGGACATTTTGCAAATTAAGCATTTACTTTATGATTGTTAGATTTTATTATGTGTTAAATACATTCGGTTGCCCCCACTGGTGTTCTTGTTCACTACAGTGTTAGTCTAGCTGTAAAGGTCGGATTTACAGCATGTCGGTCAGAGCAGTTTTTCTCTATGCTTGTGAGACCTGACCTCTCCGAGTTGAGGATGTTAGACGACTCTCTGTGCTTGATCGTCGTTGTCTTCGAAGGATTGCCGTCATCCAGTGGTAACAACATGTTAGTAATGCAGAGGTCCGGCATCATGTGTTCGGGCACAGTAACGGTAGTTCAATTAGTTTCACTATCCTAGAATATCGGCTTCGAGGATTGGAGATGTACGAATGTTTTCCCAGAGAATTTCAAGTCGTGCATTATTTGCCGACTCTGGGACTGGTTGGAGAAAGCGGAGAGGTGGTCAGTGTATGACATGGTGTCGTGGTATGAAAGAAAGTTGTTCATGACTGATTTTTTCTGGTCCTCCACGACTCCTTGTTTGGGATCCTAGAGATGATGCAATAGGGATTTGAGACGTTATCAGATATGGCTCAGAATATAAGCCAGTGGCTATTCTGCTGGAACTTTCTTTTACTTTCTTCATAAAAAGTGATCATAACTTCGTTTATTATACTCACTTTACATCTCTTCACACCCTCATTGTTATTGTGTAGGGCATATATATTCGATTCTTCCTTCTACCAATGTTAAAGTGTTCAAATAAATCTGGGTGTCTGGACTATAAAGTAATATTTATTTCTTATTGCATACTGATAACCAGTTAAGTTTGTGTCACTTTCCAGTTTACGTGGAGCATTGGGAGAACTTGTGTTCACTCAAAAAAATTTTCGAAGCTAGAGTAGAAGTTGCTATTTGTTCCATGGCTAATGTTTTTTAGGTTTTGCCTCCGAGTTCTTTCTGTCAAACAGATAATTCTTGTTCTATTTTAGGAGCTTTTAATCCTAAACATTTGGTAACTCATATCAAAAATTGTACCACAGTTTTGAACTTTGGTGGAACACCATCAATTCGAGACAGCACGATTTGTAAATTAGTTTCATTTGTTTCCCTTTTATTGTTATCTATCTATCCTTTCATGATTATTATCTTACTAAACATTTTTTGGAATAAACAAAAGCGGAGGTTTTTTGGGTCTTAATAAAATCTAAGATGTCGCTTACTTTTTTGTGGATGAGTTTGATGTCAAAAGAAGTGCTTCGATATGTATATATAATATGTAACATGCAGTTTATGTGTACAAACTCAGTTAAATCATCCTTGATAACACTAGACTTTCACTGTTTATCTCATTGTTTGAAATATCAAAATAGTTGTTACAATAAGCTATTATGATTATCACACCACACTGCAATAGTTCAAGTTTTTAAGAATAATATTTGCCAATTTCTTCTTTAGCTCTACAAATGGCTACTTATATGTGACAGTAGTATATAATGGATCTGCATTTGTGGCACTTTATGCTTTACTTTTATTCTACTTGGCTACTCGAAGCATCCTACAACCATTTGATCCTGCAATCAAATTTGCTGTAGTTAAATCCGTTGTATTCTTATGCTTTTGGCAAGGTTTGTTGAGAAATTATTTTTTTCTGTCTCCATAATATTGCTAATTTATGCTTCCTCCTTATTGTCAGTGCTGAATTTAGTTTACGTTGTAGAGTGTAAGTTGTTTTACAGTTCTCTTATTTTGTTTTATGTATAGATTTGTTTACATCACCGAATAATCACTTGTTGGATGATTCTTCATATTTTTAATCTGATTTTGATTTAATTTGTTTTTAAGATACTCTGTGGTTGAAATTAAGACAACTGCAACATGGCACACTAAGCTGCCTTGTCTGAGCTTCTTCAGGGAAATTATCAAAAATCGAAATTATTGAGAACACAAATCGATTTACAAAACAAGTTTGTACTAAGTCAATTATTCAGTCATTTTTATGATGTTGAACCTGAATTATATTAAAGTATGGATATGAATGTGCCATTATTGTGAAATATTGTCTAATCGTCAAGTTCCAAAGAGCTTACAAATTTGTGCCGTACAACATAGTTTCAGTTTAATAACCAAATGTAAGCGAGCAAAATAAAGTTTGGTGAGATTACCCATATCATAACTTATGCAGAAATAATAATGCAATTCCTTGAAGCTACAGTTCAACCAAAAATCGAACTGAAAATGTGGATACCTAATAATAGCAAAAATGATCATTATAATACATTATTATTATCCTCTGTTGTAACGTGTGACTGCAAATTCGAGTGAAGCGTATATTATCGAGCGATTACAGTAACACGGAAAACACTTAAGAAAGGCTTAGGGTTCTGACTGGCCCTTGCTTCCCTGTCTAGCTCAGCCATTTGAGTCCAGAACGCAAGTCTTAGCCTCTGAGATATGAATCACTATCTTGACCTTGGTGTTGGTTGACAGTTGCTTTGCGTTCCAGTTGTTGTTGAATTGTAGATATGCTACTCTTGCTTTGCCAATTCATGCCTTCATATCTGCATCAGATCTACCGTTGTCATCAATGACGCTGCCCAAATGTGTGAAGGTTTTTACATCTTCCAAATCTTCTCCGTCATTTGTGATTGGATTGTTGCATACTGTGTTGTATCGGAGAATCTTGCTTTTCCCTTTGTGTATATTGAGACCTACTGCTGCTGAGGCTGCTACTACACTGGTCGTCTTCTCCTGCATCTGTTGTTGCTTTTGGGATAGAAGGGCCAGATCATCTGCGAAGTCTAGGTCGTCCAACTGCATCCTAGATGTCCATTGTATCCCGCGCTTCCCTTCAGACGTTGACGTCTTCATGATCCAATCGATCACCAGGAGGAAGAGAAAGGGTGAGAGTAAGCAACTTTGCCTAACACCGGTCTTCACTTCGAACGACTTTGTCAACTGTCCTCCATGCACAGTTTTGCAGTGTAATCCATCATATGAGTTCTGTATGATATTGACTATCTTCTGAGGCACGCCGTAGTGTCGAAGAAGTTTCCATAGTGTTGTTCTGTCCACGCTATCAAATGCCTTTTCGTAGTCAATGAAGTTGATGTAGAGTGATGAATTCCATTCAATTGATTGTTCCACAATGATCCGTAGAGTTGCTATTTGGTCTGTACACGATCTATCCTTACGGAATCCTGCCTGTTGGTCACGAAGTTGGACGTCTACGCAGTCCTTCATCCTGTTTAACAATACCCTGTTGAAGACTTTTCCCGGTATTGAGAGAAGCGTGATGCCCCTGTAGTTATCACAGTTGCTGAGATAGCCTTTCTTCGGTATTTTGATCAGAAGTCTTTCTTTCCAGTCTGTTGGTACTTGTTCCTCATCCCAAATCTTATTGAAGAGAATGTGGAGTATCCTTGCAGTTGCCGCTACGTCTGCTTTTAATGCCTCTGCTGGAATGTTTTCTGGTCCTGCTGCTTTACCGCTCTTGATTTGCCATCCTTATCTCTTCAATTGTTGGTGGGCCAACATCGATTGGGAGGTCCGTGGGTGCTGCTTCGATGTTGGGTGGGTTCAGTGGGTCTGGTCGATTCAAGAGTTCTTTGAAGTGTTCTACCCACCTGTTTTGTTGCTCTTCAATATTGGTGATTACCTCGCCTTCCTTGCTTTTCACTGGTCGTTCTGGTTTGCCGCGTTTTCCAGAGAGTTTCTTTGTTATGTCATACAGTTGTCTCATGTTTCCTTCTCTTGCAGCCTTTTCCGCCGTCGTTGCTAAATCTTCCACATATTTACGTTTGTCAGTTCTGATGCTCCTCTTCACTTGTTTGTTTACTTCTGTGTATTCAGCTTATGCCTTGGCTTTTTCTGCTCTTGTTCGACTGGTATTGATTGCTGCTTTCTTGTTGTTCCTTCCTTGAATCTTATCCAGTGTATCAACAGTGATCCATTCCTTGTGATGGTGCTTCTTGTGGCCCAGGACCTTATGACATATTGAAGTAATTGCCTCTTTGATCCCCTTCCAGTTGCTCTCCACAGTAGTCCCCTCTCCATTGAGTAGATCATGAAAGGCTTGGAATTTATTGGTGAGGACTATCTTGAATTTGTTTAGTTTGTCGGTATCCCGAAGAAAGGCCGTATTGAACTTTTGTGATGTTGTCCGCCCCGTTGTCCAGTACTTCTTGAGTTTCAATTTCATCTTGGCGATCAGTAAGTGATGATCTGATGCTGTATCAGCTCCTCTCTTGGTTCTCACGTCTTCCATCGTCCTCCTGAACGTTTTGTTGATGCAGATATGGTCGATCTGGTTTTGTGTAGTGTGATCCGGTGAAGTCCATGTGGTTTTGTGTATGCGTTTATGTGGGAATATGGTGCCGCCTATGACCAGTTTATTGAAGGCACATAGGTTTGCAAATCTCTCACCAATTTCGTTCCTTTCTCCCAGTCCGTGTCGTCCCATGATGTCTTCACATCCAGTGTTGTCCGTTCCAACCTTGGCATTGAAATCTCCCATCAGAATGGTTAGGTCCTTTGTTGGGCACTTATCGATGATTGATTGCAGCCTATTGTAGAATTGATCTTTAGCGTTTTCATTGTAGTCGTTGGTAGGCACATAGCATTGGATGACGTCCATTGAAATGCCCTCTTTCTTTGTTTTGAAGGAGGCTTTGATGATCCTTGGTCCATGAGATTCCCATCCTATAAGCGCATTTTGCGCTTGTTTGGACAGTATCAATGCGACTCCTTGTGTATATGGTGCATTTTCTTCTTCATGGTCGGAGTATAACAGGAGCTTTCCTGAAGTTAGTCGTTGTTGTCCAACTTGTGTCCAATGTGTTTCACTGATCCTAAGTACCTCCAGGTTGTATCTCCTCATTTCTGTAGCAATTTGGAAGACTCTCCCGGTCTCCCACATTGTACGAACATTCCATGTACCTAAATAAATGGTTGCTGTGGTCGTCAGAAGGGGCATCCGCTTCGTGACTTCCGAAGGAATTCGGCTTTCATCATGAGGCGTCATAGTTCTTCTAAATGAAGACCTTCTGACTCAAGGGGCAGAGTTCAAAAGGTTTGAATAATTTTTTCTGGTTAGCGTTTTTTTAGCGAGTTAGTTTTCTACGGGATGGAGTCACTAACCCCATGCCCAACCCTCCTCCTTTATCCGGGCTTGGGACCGGCAGTAGCTCCCGGAGGGACTCCAGGCGGAGTTAATATTTATATTGCTCATGTGAATGTCTTTCAATCAATCATTTGCAGTTTTTAGTCACTGATGTTTATGGAATAGACTACATAGTTTACCAGTGATAATTAACCATTAATGGTGAAATGAAAACTGATGTACCAGTAGTGTTAAGAACAATAATATTTTCAACAAATAATTTAACGTTGGAAGCAGGTCAACATTCATAAAAATAAACATATTAGTTGTCAAAAATTGCAAAATAAGATTTATGTGTGTACATATTTATGGGAATAACTCAATATAAAGAAGAAATGAAATATTGAAGTGGATAAAGATAAGCGTTTCAATATCTTCAGTTTGATTTTTGGTTGAACTGTAGCTTCAAGGACTTGCATTATTATTTCTGCATAAGTCGTGACATCGGTAATCTCACTGAATTTTGTTTTGCTCGCTTATATTTCGTTATTAAACTGAAACTATGTTGTACGGCACAAATCTGTGAGCTCTTTGAAACATGGCCATTAGGGTTTTTGCGTGTTCGAGAGTTGTTCGTTGCTTCTGAGAAGATAGTATGGAAGAAGTTTGTTTTGATTAAGGTGATTGAAACTATGATATTAAAGGATAACTTTTTCCATTATTGTTTACTTTTGTAAGCCTTTGATCTTGCCAAAGAATTGTATTAGCAAATGAATAGATTATTCATTTGGGTTAGTCAGATGCTTCAATATGATATTGAGTTCTTTAGACAAGTTGTAAGTTGAAGTCCCTGGTGTTTACACTGTTAATCCGCAAGGAGTGTTTGGTTTGTGGGACTGTGGTTTAACATAGAACCGATGAAGAATGGATCCCTTGAATCTCATTCACTACTGATCTCGTTTCGTGATTTGCATTTCTTTAATGAGTTTGGTAGCTATTTACCAAAATTTTCCATTATTATCTGGTAAACAACTCTCTATGTAGCTTTTCTACAGTTACTACCAGTCCCAAGCCCACAAAATATAGGAGTGTTTGACATGGGGTCAGCAACTTCATATCGTAGAAAAAAGTCTTGCTAAAAAACGCCAACCAGATTAAACAAATTAAACCATTTACATTCTGTTCTGGTAGTTGAAAGAAGAATTATGACGCCTCTTGATGAAAGCCGAAATTCTTCGGAAGTCACGAGGACGATGCCTCTTCTAACAACCAGAGCAACAATTTCTATATGTTCATGGAACGTCCGGGCAATGTGAGAGACGGGGAAGACCAGTCAAATAGCTACCGAAATGAAGAGATACAACTTTAAAATGCTCAGATTCAGTGAAACCCATTGGACCCAAGCTGGACAGCAAAGGCTAGATAGGGGGAAATGCTGCTGTACTCCGGTCACGAAGTGGAAAATACTTCACACACTTAGGGAGTTGCTCTGATTCTGTCCTAAGAACCACGAGGATCGGAATCAAGACTGCTTACTCTACCCTCTTTCTCTTTGTTTTGATGGTTGACTGGATTGTGAAAACATCCACATCTGAGGGGAAGCACGGAATACTATGGACAGCTTGCATGCAACCAGACGATTTGAAATTTGCGGATCACCTGGCTCTTCTATCCCACACACACCAACAAATGCAGATCAATACAACCAGTGTAGCAACAGCCTGTGCAGCAGTGGGCCTCAACATACATAAGAGAAAAACCAAGATCCTCAAATACAACACGGAGAACACCAACACACTTGATGAAGAAACTCTGGACGAGGTGGAAAATCTCACGTACCTGGACAGCGTCATCGATGAACAAGGAGGATCTGATGCAGACGTAACGGTGAGGATTTGCAAAGTAAGGGCCGTATTACTATAGTTGAAGAACATATGTAACTCGAAACAACTGTCAACCAACATCAAAGTGAGAATCTTCAATACGAACGCCAAGACAGTTCTACTGTACGAAAATGAGACTTTGGGAACTACAACAATCATCATCAAAAAAGTATAGGTATTTCTAAACAATTGTGTTCGCAAGATACTCAATATAGTTTGGCCGGACACAATTAGCAGCAGCCTACTTTGGTAGAGCTTTGATCAGTTTCCTTTTGGAGGTGGGAATTCGGAGAACACCCAGTTTCCCATCAGCGAGATGTTATATCATCAAATACTTTCCAAATCCGTACAACTACATTTTAGTTCATGTATGGTTTTTCCTCAGAATTGAATGAGTTTTACGTTTTTTGTCATCTTCATGCACATTGATTTTTTTACATTCATATTACCATAAACATCTATTTTTATATATTTCTCTTCAAATTCACGTATGCAATTTACTGCTTGTTTATCATTATTCACTTTGATCTAAGGTATTATACTAGCTATTCTAGAAAAAACTGAAGTTCTGCCCGCTTTGCCGAGTACGAACGCCGGTACAGTTGCAGCAGGCATACAGAATTTCTTGATATGCTTAGAAATGTTAGTCGCCTCATTTGCTTTACGCTTCGCTTTTCCCTCACAACTATATGCTGATGGAGTCGGAACTGGACCAGCAAATAGTGGCTATGATAGTCTTGGTGGAGTTGGTGGTGAAGTTTCTCTTGAATCCAAGAAGCGTAAGTTAATTGTGTAGTGAAGTCTTGAGATTATTGTAGTTGTAGGTCGAATGATTGTTCTTTAAAATGATCAAGCTAATAAAACTACTTATATATAAAAAATTCATGACTTGCGAAGTTAGCCTAATCGAGAATGAGGTAGTTGCCAACAGATAGTGTATCACAGCTCGTTGAATTTTAAAATATGAACTATCGAGTGTCGACTTAGTGGTTTAATGATATTGTTTTCGGAGCATGAACTGAAGGCCCCAAGCCCGGTCTCAGGCGTGGCTATCGTTGCACCCTGCTGTGGAGTCCCACACTAGAACGAGACAGTTGTCCATTAATTGAATATTTTTTAAATAGTAGTCGGTGGTTGGTTATCTGAGATTTAAATATTGTCGGTGTACTTCAAATAGTGAGTACTCAGTATATTGTTCCGTATTTTTCTTTCCTATATTCTATACTGTTAAGTCTCGTACTCTAACCTAGTGTTCTCGGACGCCTTACTTAGCTGATTCTCAAATTAAAACATTGTTAATTTCGCTACTTGATTATCGCAGAATATGGTATACCTTTACAGCACTCGAACGTATAGAAACCCCACAGTCGTAAATCAGAAGACTGGAAAAGTGCTTGTTGGATAAGAATCAAAATGTACAGTAAATCACGGATGTTTATAGATATTAGCGTTTGTTATATCAACATTATAATTTAACCAATCCTCAAAGAGGCATATTATATTGCTATCCAATAATAGCGTGCCACGTTGATATTCCAGAAAGCTCCATCATTTTCCGATTGGATGGACACTCTTCGGCTCCTTTAGGGCCTATGGAGGCTCCTTCGTAGTTCTCGGAAGCCGTCCCAACAAACACAACTTGGACAGAGCGTAAAATCATAATGACCCATTTACAAAATGCCAGTGTATGTATATACTTTACGTAGGAATGTTCGAGAGGCTTCTCAGCTTAGTTGGCTGGAAATGTATCGATCAACGCATTTTAACGTGATTTTGTCTAAAACTTGGGTTGACCAAGTGTCTATCCTTTTGGACGTTATTTCACAAGCTCAGTTCCCCATTGTTATTGTTATTTTTCAACTCTTTTGCTTTTCGTGTTTATTGTTCGTCCTATCATTGAGTTAACGTGAAGTGCGAGAACGTAAACTGGTGAACACTTGTACAATACCCAATATTGTCGTTGAGTGACTGACCTATTTGTGTTTATTTCTGTTGTAGGAAAGTTTTAGCATGAATTAGTGTTATTTGGATTAATACTGATAAGGAGGACGTAACTGGCAAGTGTTTCATTCTGGTTAGAGACTTCTCGACAGTTGTCAACAACGAATTCTCTCAAGTTCGGGTTCAAGACGTCATTTCGTTATGTAATGACCCTTCAAAAAGTGTCAAAATCTTTACCAGCTAATATCAGCTGGTCAACTATTTAAAACTAGGCGGCATTAATTAATTATTCCACTTTACTTTCCAAGTCCCCAATAGCACTCATCCCAGACCCTAGACCTGATTAGCTGATCCAAATTTCATTATAAAAGTACGTGCTAGCTGATTCTCAACAAAATCAAATTAAATATTTATTACAACGGCTTTATTCAGCTGTTGTTGCTGGAATCGTCACAAATCAAAAGTTTTATTTTAAATTTTTCTGTCGTCAGTAACCATCATCGTTATTTCTAATGATTTTCTGGTCAAATTCTTACCATTTTTAGGTGGATTTCTACCGTCTTCTGATTCTCTACGTAGTCTGCGGGATACATTCAATCCTAAAGATATGTTTAATGATGCGATCCATAATTTTCATCCGAATTATCAAAAATACACTCAACAAGTAAGTTCTTCCGGGGTTAGATTTTAGTCTTCATAAAATAACCACATATTGAATTGTATGTTGATAACGTAGCGTGATTCATGTGTTCAGGACTAAATAGGACTCTAGACACATACTTGTATCTAGGTTGGTATTGGTGTTTGTACTAAAACTCTGATTGTCTCTTATCAGTATTCGTCTCTTTACAAGATGACATCCTTGTAAAAATGCAAGAGAAAAAGGATATAGCTAATCCATTAAACATTCCTAGTAATGTCAACAATCTTCGGAAGAAAAAGGACTCATTTATTTCAAATTGGTAAACTGAAAAGAAGTGGGTTTTTATCATATTACCTAGATGGAGTTCATCACTTCAAAGTCGGTAACGAGCCATTAAAACACATTCAGTGATAAAAAAAGAGGTTTGGTGTGTTTCGTTTGTTCTCTGTAATGCATATCTGAGGACTATGTTAACTGATTTCCTCTGTTTATAAAGGTGTCCTATGGCCGTAATGATATCAACGCTTTTTATTTTTTAAACTGATAATTCTGGAATCGTTCCCGTAATGCTGAATAAATGAGCATCTTTTAAAATCCACGTTGATCTGGGCACTGCCTACAATTGAGATAACAATATAATAGGGTATTTTTCTTACTTTAGATTAGTAGAATAATGTTTCTAAACACTATACCAAATGTTATTGCTTTAGCACAGAAACAAGGTCATAGGAGTCGGTGTTCTGATTATCGATTTTGTCACGACATTTGATAGAAGCAGAAGTCATGACAATTGCAGACAGAGACTTTTGGAGTTAAAAAGCAAAGAAAAGAAAATAATAGTAGCTGTGAAAAGAAAAACGATTGGCACTCTATTCCGAACAATTGCAGTCACTATTACAGCAACATATGTTTGCTTCTCAACAGTTTTAGTAAGACTCTGTTCAACCAGATATTCCAGAAACATAAAAGTTTAGAATAATATCTCAGTCCAGTCCCAGGATTTATTTTTAATGCAGATAATGGTCGTACTTTTGAAGCATGGTTTGGCTGGATAGAAGATATTTTTCGAGTAGAATTTTCTGTTACGGACGACTCAAAGAAATTCCAGTTGTTGTTACTGAAACTTGGTCCAAATGAGCATAAGAAGTATAGAAATCATAACCTGCCTGAACATCCACGAGAAGTCAATTTCGATTAGTGTTGACATTTTAAATAAAATGTTTTGTGAACATATATCATGATTTCCTAGCCTGTATAATTGTTTGTAGTTGACACGGTAGAGTAAATTTACAAGCGGAACGAATTAAATTAAATGTATTATCCGGTGATCAGTTTGAATTCTTATTACTCATCTTCAATAAAAACTCTACTATCGATGCTCACTTTCTCATGTGGTTGTTATCCCGTATGCAACATGACGATGTAATGACGCTGCAAACTGACACTGTAGAGTGTCAGCGATTAGTAAACTTAAACCAGGATACAGCTATGGTGGAAATCAAAAGTACAGTGCCATTTAACCATTCTGTTTATGCTGTTAAGATATGTTGACGGCAAAATAGTAGCAAGAGTAGTCAATATCTGATAAGTCACGGCTACTTGAACACAAGAGAAACGGTGCTAAATGTAGAAAGAGTGCTTTACTCTAACGTCAGTTTATGTATTTACAGCATTTCGGATGGCCTTGGGCCTCTGGAACTCTCCTAAACATAGTAGTAGGATGGGTAATTATTATATCTAGAAGGTTGTTCTTGATATACCGCGTATAACGTGAGCACTAGAACGCCAGAACCCTTCCAAGTCGCAATGAGAAGACAGAAGACTAATGAAAGGAATATTATTCCAAACAGTGTCAATTATAGTACAAAATTGTCAGATATTTATAGTTTTTAGTAAGAACGAAATCATCATTTCAGTCCTCCAATCCGCATACAGGGGATTAGTAGCATTGCCCGATCGGGAAGCTATACGTAGGAATCTTAGAATATTCTTCCAAAAGGTGATTTGATGGAATATCTTCGGCTCCTTCTGAGCCTCCTACAGCTTCCTCGAGTTCACCCGTGGTCCGTCGTCACAGTAATCATCCAGTCAGAAGTGTGGCGCGTGACTCTTCGCTTTCTAGATGTTTCCTAGAAACTTCTACTCAATGCTGACAGGATCAAATGTTTCCCAGCGTTTTCAGGGCTCCTTTTGGCTTTTTTCGAGGGATTTTTTGGGTCTCCTACGATATTACTCGAATATTTCCAAACATTCAGCTAAATGTTCGTATTGTGATACGTGGTTGTTATTATTCTCTCTTACGGTTATAACCCAGCTATCCTATTGCATAGTATTCTCGGACACCAATTCACTCGATATGTCACTAAATCAGAACACGATTGAACAGGAAAGAGATTATATTCCAAGCAACAAGGTTAGATGGAAGTAAGAAGTACAATAAGAAAAACGTTAGTATATTTGTACTTTTTACACGAGAAGATTCTAGAGTGTTCTCCAAGCATCGACTAGCGTTGATTGGATAGAAATCAGCCAATCGGCGTGCACCAAAGCAATCGTGCATTGAGCATACTTTAATCCAATCTATGTCCCGCTAACAGTGGTATTCCTCAAAAATTAGCCGGTTTGGAAATTATAGATGCACCATGTAGTATAAAGTCAGTCACAAAGAAACAGTTTGCCGAACTAGAGAAAGTCCGAAATTCAAGCTGACGTAGCGTTTCCATCAGTATCAAAATAAGTTTATAGACAGTATATATGCTCCAATGGCATTAAGTATAGCAGATAAAAGAAGGTATGTGGAATTATCGGTTAACAGTGTTCATATTCGATTACATTTGGATATAGCATCAGACATCACTTTAATCTTTAAAGGGACATGGAGTTTAATTGGCCCCCGAATGCCCTGGTACGGCCGAGAGTGGGGTGAGTCCGCTCTCCCTCTCGAAATACTCTCACACGGCCGCGCGTATACGGCCTCTGCCAGGGAAGTCCTACTCATTGCCTTCTCGTGGCGGGGGTGTTGTTTACGAAAATGAGAGGACGAAGAGCGAATGTCCGGCGCTTTAACCGGATCACAAACCAATGGTGCACATGGGCTCCAGTATCCTGCGGGAACAAATGGCGTATGAACCAATCTTTGGTCACCGGCTTCCATGGGATTGCATCTCCTTACGATGCTCCACTGCCTTGTGGGTTAGACCTTTAGGTCAAAGGCTCGGGGAGTGGCCCCCTAAGATAACCACCTGCTTCGGTTTGGACACCCGGGCAGTATCACAGCCCACACACAAACGATGAACTCTATGTCTATGGCAACTACTTTTCTCGCTCCGAAAAACAATCAATCGATTCAAATAATTATCATTACTATTATTGTCATTATTAATACTATTATTATTACTATTATTGTCATTATTATTATTATTATTATTATCATTATTATTATTATTATTTCCCACATTATTCACCCTCTTTTATACTTATACAGCGGCTCGTCTTTGGTGGAAATCCGACTGTATCTAAACGTTCTCGAGTCACTGTCCGGTTGAAAGTTGTATGTTACCATCGAATATGAGTACTGAAGCAGTGTTTCTGAAACCACGTGCGCCATTCAAACTGGCTGCCTTCAACGTTCGCACACTTATACTGGTTGGTCAACAGATAGGGCTGGCTATGTCTTTGGAAAGTCTTAATATTGATGTTTGTTGTCTATCCGAGGCCTATATTCAAGACTCTAGCGAAGTACTACAAATTCACTCTACATCTGTCACTTCAAAAAGCTTGTTTTACGTGCGCTTATCCGGGGACCCTGTGGCATCTTCGTCTGGTCTTGCAGGCGTTGGTGTCGCACTAAGCGCTAGAGCTGAGGCAGCACTAGTCGATTGGATCCCCATTAACAGTCGGTTATGTGCTGTTAGATTAGAAAGTTCCATCAAAGTGAGAAGAAATCGGTGTGAGAAACGATGTCTTTTCGTCGTCTCCGCCTATGCCCCGACAGATTTCAGCCCGGATGCAATCAAGGATGAGTTTTACCACCAGCTATCTGTTCTTCTCCAGAGAGTGCGTTCGACAGGTATTGTAGTACTAGCCAGAGACTTGAATGCTCAGGTCGGGCGTCTAGGCACAGAAGAGAGTCGTTTAGGTGGCCGATGGGGACTCGTTGGTCGCAGGTCAGATAACGGGGACCGTCTACTGCAACTTTGCACAGACCACAACCTGTTTCTGGCTAGCACTAACTTTCGGCACAGTCATCGCCGATGTGCCACCTGGCGTCCTCCCTCTGCATCCCAAGCCTGAACTCAGATTGATCACATCGCGATCAGCTACCGCTGGTGTGGTTGTGTACAAGATTGCCGCTCCTTTTGGAGTACCTATCTGGACTCTGACCATGCCTTGGTCTGCGCCAATCTTGCCTTACTTTTCAGTGGACAACGAAGTGACCACCACCAAAAGATTGATGTTAGCAAGCTGGTTGCAACTTCTGTTGCAAATAAGTATCGAACCGAGCTAGCCTCTAGGCTAGCTACCACTCCACCGAAAAGTATAGATGAGCATTGGTTGCAATTGCATGACGCCATGAAAATGGCGGGAACAGTCAGTTGTGGGTTTGCGAAACGTCCCGCTTTTAAGCACTGGGTTTCTTCTGGTTCCTTACAACTCATTGAAGCCCGTCGGTCTACTCCGGGTGACCGTGAGTTTGACCATAAACGAAGGATGTTACGTGAGGAAATTGGGCAAAGCTTGCGTAAGGACCGAGAAGCCTGGTGGTCGAAGCGTGCTAATGAGCTGGAAGCAGCAGCTGCATCTGGTAACTACCGGAAGCTCTTCCAACTCATCCGAGCCACTGGCAGCAAGAAGTCTGGTGTGAGTGAAACAATCTGCGAGGATGATGGGATGCCAATCACTAGCATCCATCGACGTCTTGTACGATGGGCAGAATTCTTAGAAGGGCAGTTCGACTGGTCTGGTGCTCTGGCAACATCGGTCAGACTGTCCTGCCCTCCATGGCCGGTGACGACTGGTCCACCAAATTAGGAGGAAGTCCGCAAGGAACTCCAACTCTTGAAACGTTACAAATCACCTGGCCCAGATGACTTACCTCCGGCTCTTTTTAAAGATGGTGGTGACTTTTTGACTAAGGAATTGACGACGTTGTTTACCAAGGTTTGGGAACTAGAGAGTGTACCAACGTCATGGAATGAGTCGATGGTTGTCCCCATCTTTAAAAAGGGTTCACATCGTTCCTGTAACAACTATCGGGGGATAAGTCTACTTCCGATTGCGTCCAAGCTATTGGCTTCCGTCATACTTCGTAGGTTGTTCAAAACTCGAGAAAGATTGACTCGCGAGGAGCAGGCTGGTTTTCGTTCTGGTCGAGGATGTATTGATCATATCTTCACCCTCCGCCAAATGTTAGAACATCGCCATTCTTATCAAAGGCCAACGATCGTAGTGTTTCTTGACATCAGGGCTGCCTTCGATTCGTTGGACAGGACTGTTCTCTGGGATTGTCTATTGAAGAAGGGTGTGCCTGAGAAGTTTATTAATATCCTAAAGGCCCTATATACAAACACCTCAGGCAAAGTGAGGGCATACGACCACCTCTCTCCATTGTTCCATTCAAGTATTGGAGTTGGACAGGGTTTCTCAATCTCATCATTCCTCTTGAACTTTGCCATCGATGAAATTCTGGAAACAGCTCTGATGGATGTAAGTAATGGTAGTGTGGATTTGTTGTCTGGAGAAAGATTTCTCGACCTTGAGTATGCGGATGATATTGTCTTACTGTGCAATGATACTCGAGACATACAACCCTCACTAAGTCGGTTGGCAATTGGTGTTCGTAGGCATGGTATATGATTTGCACCTTCGAAGTGCAAAGTACTTTTACAAGACTGACAGGACCCTGAACCTGCACTCAACCTGGGTAGTAAGCAGATAAAAGTAGTTGAGAAGTCTGTGTATCTAGGTAGCTGTATAAGTGCTGGTGGTGGCGTGAGTGATGAGATCAACGCACGTATAGTGAAAGCCAGAGCGGCTTATACCAATCTGGGCCACCTTTGGCGCCTTCGTGATGTTAGTCTGGGTGTAAGAGGTCGGATCTACAACGCGTCGGTGAGAGCAGTTCTGCTCTATGCTTGTGAAACCTGGTCTCTCCGAGTTGAGGACGTTAGACGACTTTCTGTGTTCGATCATCGCTGTCTCCGAAGGATTGCTGACATTCAGTGGCAACACCATGTCAGTAATGCAGAGGTTCGGCATCGTGTGTTCTGGCACAGAGATGATAATTCAATTGGTATCACCATCTTAAAACACCGACTTCGGTGGCTTGGACATGTTCTACGAATATCGTCCCAGAGAATTCCACGTCGTGCATTATTTGCCGACTCTGGGACTGGTTGGAAGAAGCGGAGAGGTGGTCAGTGCATGACATGGTGTCGTGATATGAAAGAAAGCTGCAAAGGACTGGCATCTGTCGGTCCTTCACGACTCCCTGGTTGGGGTCTGAGAGATGGTGCTACACAGTGGCTAGAGACGTTATCAGATATGGCTCAGAATAGAAGCCAGTGGCGATCCTGCTGTAACCTTCTTTTACTTTCTTCATAAAAAGTGTTTGTGTCTCCCTTACCTGAAAGATTTCTTCCGATTGTACCTTTGCGTTCCCTGTTTACTAGCACATTACCTTACACCAATCTCTTCGTTATTGTTCTCTCTTTTTTTGTGCTCCTTAGCTTCTTTTTTTTTCTTTCTTTGTATTCCTCTTCGAATATTCATTGTTCTGTGTGGCGCATATATATTGGCGCTCTCTTGTACCAATATTCATGTGTCCAAATAAATAAATAAATAATTGGCTGTCCATAAGTTATTTCAACTGAGCACACAGCTCGAAATGCATCTGGAGATATATTATAGATTGTTGGAATAGTAAAATGCTCTGTTAAATTCTGAAATATCTACTTTACAGAAAATTGTTATTTAACGAACAGATATAATTTAGACCTTATTGGTATAGATTGGATAGACAAACTAAATCTATGGGATGTACCATTGAGCGAAATATGTAAGATGAAAAGCTCAAATAGCCTTAAAGATCTGCCCGTTGTTCATGTAACTAGGAAAACTATAACGATAGAAGACCCTTTGTGGAAACATACAAGCTTGTTCCAGAATAAGTTAGGATGCTCCACAATTCGAAAGGCAAAATTATACTTACGACAAGATGTAAAACCTGTTTTTCGTCCAAAACGTCAAGTTGCATATGCAGCTATTGACGAAATTGACGAAGAATTCGACCGGCTAGAGAAACTCGGTGTCATACAATCTATTAATTACTCGACACGGGCAGCACCAATTATAGTAGTTCAAAAAGCGAACAGAACTACTTGTCTTTGTGCAGATTTTTCAACAGGATTAAACGATGCTCTATCAAATCATTCATACCCATAACCTTTGCCAGATGATTTATTTTTATTATTATTATTGTTTTTCTAAACTTGATTTATCTGAAGCCCATTTACAAGTGAAAGTTGACACATATTCAAAGGAGTTTCTAACGATTAATACTCACCGTGAACTCTATTACTGTTCGGGTTAAAACAGCACCAGCAATTTTCCAGCAAATAGTAGATACCATGATATTTATTCTAAAAGGTGTGACAGTTTATTTGGATGACATTATAGTTGTTGATTCTATTATTCCGAAACTAATGAGTCTGTTGGACATTGTGCTTACTAAAATACCGCAAGCTAGGTTTCAGTTACAAAAAGGAAATTGTGAATTCTTGTTCGAGTCTCCTAGGTACCTTGGATATATATTTGATAAAGATGGTCGTCAGTCAGATCCCGACAATATCAATGCTATCAAAATCATGCCCAGGCCGACAAATGTTACAACGCTAAGTTTAATCTGATGGGCGATTTTGCCACGTGGGGGTGGCAGAAGTCATAACATGACACACATGAGTTATGCTGCTACATCTTACGAAGCAAAGCTCGATGTTTTGATCTAATCAATCAAGTGAATAATACAATGAAAAAATTGAAAACAGTTAATTGATTTTATTTAAACTATTGATAAAGTTTTCACATATTACGTTACCGTTATTATTGTACTATTTTAGCGTAACCTCAGTGATTTCGATGATGAAACAATCGATTCTTATCAAGGTAATACATTTAATGGTAATACTGATCTAACTAATATTCAATCAACAGTACCAGCTCCACCAATACCACCACCACTAAGACCATAATCCAATTAAATGATCTACTTTCACTAATTGCTTTGATATTAAAGAAGCCAGATAATCTGTTTTGTTTTTGTTTCTCGTGGTTTTCTTTTTTTATATTTTCTTTAGTGTTAGATATTGTTTCCATGTGTTTATTTATCATGTATATCTATCTATGTGCGTGTGTGTTGTTTATACTTGTGCTTTTACTTTATGTTCATATCAAATGATCTTGTTGTTATTCCTATTTCATTCTCTATAGATTTATTTTATCATATTAACTTGTCGGTTCATTTATGATTACATGATAGATGATGACCCAAGCATTGTAGATTTTTCTCTTTTCATTTTTTTGTAATCATTACTTTCGCAAATCACTTAATATACACTATGTCGTTTGACTATTATCTTTCCTATTTATCTCTCTAACGTTGTTTATTTATTATTGTCTAGTCTAAACAAGCACTGCTCATATATTTCATACTACAGATTAATCGAAAGATTGTTATTAGGAAGGAAATTTTACTGTACATAAATTAATATTTACTAGTAAATAGAATAGAATATTTTTCGTATTCATCTAATCTCATTTGACCATTACCTACAGCGAAAGTTATTTTTAGGCATTTTTTGTCATGTTTTTAAAAAAGAACTTGTTACTGCATGCATTTAAACTTCTTCTTCAGAACATACAGTTATTTAATTCTTTCTGATATGGTAGTATGTGAATGATTATTAATTCACCCCTTGACAAGATTCGATTTGTGGATTATTTGAGAATATCGTTTTGTTCGTCTCATATATTGTTCATTTGTTTGTCTTCGTGTGTTTATATCCCCGTGTTTCTACCATAACTGTATGTGCTAGTATGTAACACTGGCAAATATTGTTTTACTAGTAGATTTAATTTTTTGTTGTTTCGTCATCGCTATTAATTTTAATGTTATTCTTCATAATATCAACTGTGTGTATTATATTATTCATTGTCTTCATAATATATAAATTTGAACTAGTCAATCAGAAGTTATATAATGAGTACATGACATGTCTCTGGGTGTTCTGTCACAAAACCGTAATTTAATGCCTTAGATTTTAAACATAAGTCATTTGTATAGCTGAATTATTTGCTGAAAATTTCTTACTGATACCAAATAATTAATAAATTATTCGATTTCTCACCAGTCATGGATTTTAACTTATCTTTCTGTATATTTTTCGCGCCCAAATGCCCTGGTACGTCAGAGTGGAGAGAGTCAGCGCTCCCTCTCGAAATGCTCTAACATGAACACGTGCATACAACCACTGCCAGGGAAGTCCTACTCATTGCCTTCTCACGGCATTACTGTTGTTTACGAAATCGAGAGAACGAAAAGTGAATGTCCGGCGCTTTAACCGTGTTGGTGGATGTGGAGGGTCCAATTAGGAGAGTTGTAAAACCCCGATTCCAAACCAATGGTGCACATGGGCTTCAGGATCCTGAAGGAACAAATGGCGTATTAACTAATTGTTGGTCACCGGTTATCATGTGACTGCATCTCCTGACGTTGCTCCACTGCCTTGTGGATCAAACCTTTAGGTCATAGGCTCCGGGTGTGACCCCCTAAGAAAATCACCTGCTTATGTCTGGGCGTTCGGGCAGTACCACAGCCCTCACACAAATCAATGATAACTGTTATTGGCGTCATTGTTATTGTGTGGCGCATGTATATTTGGTGCCCGCTTGTACCAATGTTTATGTGTTTAAATAAATAAATAATGTTTTACGATTACGAAGTTGGACCCAACTGTTTAGCTTTTGGGTAGCACTATTGTTAACATCTTAATATCTACGGTGTAAATCTGTCAAGATTAGTGTTAGCCTGTACTTTTTCAGTGATGAATGATTTCTTACGTCATATTATTATATTTTTTAAAACTTGTTCATTAGTATCTTAAGTAATCTTCAAGCACAATATTGTCAATTTGTAGGCTTATTTTTTTGTTCTACGCATCTAGCTAAAACTAATATCAAGCAAGCTGTTCGCCTGTAGTGTCCTATACTGGTCTTACTTGTTTAGATAATTAATACTCTGTTGGGATGTTGAGACGTTTTGAATGGGGATATTTGTATGCTTACGACGTAATTTTCATCATAGAAACCATGTTGCACTGAAGAACCTGGATAAACGTTCATTAGAACTTTTGTTTTTCACAAGCACCTCTGTGCCCGTTGATCAGCGCCAACTTAGTATACTCGAGAGATAATTACTTTTCGCTGTAAATCGGAGGAATCATTTTTGACACTAGTCACTAGTGATCACACGATAACTTCTTTATTAATCTGGCTCTGTGGGGATTGTTTATTCAGGTGGTTTTCACTACAAACTGATAAATATCAGTTATTATTATGCGTAGTTTTTCATTTATATTTCATATATTCTGGTCGCATGTTTACTTATCCTGTTTTTGATGTATGATAAAGCAATAGATATCGAATTAATTTTTAATATGAAGTAAAGATGTTACAACGAACGACGAGTGAATAATTTACAACAATACTGGAGGTGTTAAAAATATAAATAAAAGAATAAATAAGTTAGATTCATAGTAAGTGTTGTGATCGTCAAGAGAAAACAATCGATGAAAGCAATTTTTTTAAGTTGTTGATATACATTTTCTGAATAATTAATTATTATTTAAAATGATGACAGTATTATTCGTCATTGCATAAAGATAATTTTCAACAGAATTGTTTAATTATTAATTGATTCCTACCTTTCTTTGTGTAAATTACACACTCAAAGTGGTTGATCATTTGAAGAGAAATACTCCAGCTTCACTCGATTCCGAATGGTATTCCTTATTATCTTGGTGGACTGTTTGGTGGCGTTTCAGTTAATCCAATGTTTTGACTTGGTATTTTCAACTCAACAGTCCCCATCTATATTAAAAACTTCGTTTCTAAATACCTCAAATGCTGATTTATAAAATTCATTCAAAATCCTTAGAATTCCTAAACTCAACTATTGGTTACGTAGAATTCTTATTTCCTGAGTTTCAATTTTGATTTAGTTTTAGTGTTTCTGCGTATCCAATCAGCTTGATTTCACATTTCCGTCAATATCTTGAGAAAATTGCTAATAATTTCCGTAGCTACTGACAAATGGTCAAAGTAGACAGTTCTTATGACGAAAATATTTGAACGCAGATTTACCTTTCAGCAAAACACCTATTTCTACGACTAGGTCCAAATTTATAGTTATTAGGAAAAGTTAATTTTAGGGTAAACGGACTCTAAATAACTGAACTTACGAAATAATGGTTTTTTGTACATATTGAGATGGTTAGTGAAAAATGACAAGATTAAGACTTTGGTTGCATGAGATAATATTGTCTACCTGGTAATTATGAATAAGGTGAACAAGACGAAAAACAAATAAATAAATATTGTGATATGAAATAACTAATAGTTATGGAATATTAGAAAGGAAAAATAATTTTTGACCAATAAGCGTAAGAAGGACAAAGGCGGCTAGTACTATGAAAGAGTGACAGATTAGGCGTATTGGTTTAGTATGCAGAACTTAAAAATGAGTCGATCAATTAATATATCAACTTTGGTGTGTGTCTTCTTAGTTTTCACTCGCTTTAAGACAGTTCGCTTTACTGCATTGATCAACTAAAAAGAATTGTGATGTGAATAGTATTTATTATCTTCCTTAAAAGTGAACCATTACTGCTTTTGAGAGACAAGTTCAGTCATACTCGGAGATACGCTTCCATGGGTCTCACTTTATGATACTGATTTTGCGTGTTTTTACGGAACCAGGTAAACTCTTTCTACTTTCAATATCTAGTAGTCATTTGTTACTAATTCTTATTTTTTTAAGTTGTTAATCAGCTATAATTACAACGTTCAATTTTTCATTGGAATTCGTTGAAATCATGAATCGACCACCACTGAAAACCTGCCATCAGTGTGTAGTCGTTCCGTATTAGTATAGGAATCCTCAGTAGTGTGCATGCAGAACTGTGCAACCGTTTCATTGGTCTAGAGGTTAGGCGTCCGAGACCAAAGTTCCTGTCTCGATTCCCAGTTGCGGAGCCTTTGATACACACTACTGATGGTTCCCATATAAGGAAGAAACGGCCATCCAATACCTTCAGGTTTTCAATGGTGATCTAATTTACATTGGTTCATGAATTCACTGAAATTCAACAATATTCACAATCATACGGAAAAGTCACTATTTCACTTATTCTCGTTCATCATGTAATTATCAGGTAACTAGTACTATTTTACCTATAAATTGCCAGCCATTAGATCATTACTTGACCCTTTAATATTCTGTATTCTGAGCTAGCGATTCCACTGTATTTTCAAACAGAATACATGCTAAATAACTACAAATATAATCATACTGTTTCTTTGGAAGTTATCACTGAAAAGATTTCCTCTGATTAGTATATAAATAATGAAATTAAACGATACCGGATCTTGAAGACGTATGAACGAAGTACGATGTCATTCCTTTATCTTACTTACGCCACCCAACAATATTCTCTAACCAACTCTGTCCTGGAAAATCCTTGACAGTTGTTTACAACTGCTATTCATTCTCTTAAAGTCTGCTTCCAATTACCGACACAATGTGTTCCTTGGACTTTTTTCTTAACTATTCAGAATTCCATGTTAGGGCTTGCCTCGTGATGCAGTTTGTTCGTTTTTTCAATGCATGTCTTATCCACTTCCAACATCTTTTCTTACTTTCCTCTTCAGCTGGAAGCCATTTTGTTCTGTCACACAGTACGTTGTTGCTAATGGTATCCGGAAAATGAACATTGATTATCTTGAGTAGTCAATTGTTTGTAAATAGTTGTACTTTTTTGATGATGGTTGTGGTGCGATGTATACTACTTATGTTGACAGGTATAGGTAGTATGCAGAACCAGTTGGAAGTAGAATGCAGGAGTGAAGAAGATTGGGAAGATTCAGTTAAAGAAACGATGGAGGGAAACAAAAAGTAATTGTAATCAAAACGGAATTGGAAGAATCATGAATCATGTAAAGGCCAACTGGTGGAAGATGTGCAAATTACGTAATGTATGTTATGTATGGTTTCCATAAATTGGGAAAGCACTATCATGCTGTCCAAGTACGAAAACTTTCCACCACTTCCAGAACTACACGACGTGTAACTCTCTGGGACGACATTTATAAAACATGTCCAGTTAGGCTAAGAGTGAACCATTATTCCTTTGTCTTTCACAATTAAACATTTCTATATATACATCTACAAATATGATCATGGATAATTTTCACCTATTAACCATTGAATTTTGGATAATTGTTCTTTTAAATATAACCTGTTGTTTTTATCTTTTCTTTTGTCACATTTTATTATGCTTGTTTAAAATGAAAGTTTTAAAGGTGTAATTCAATTATAAAATGATTCAGTAAAGAAGTGTTAGTTAGTTTGTTTTTTTTGCTTCAATGCTCATAGTTTATGTTTTTATTCCTTCATTACTTATCTGATTTTTCTAATTTTCTTTTTCTCTTTTCTTTTTTTTAAGTCGCATTAATCAACTGACTGTTGTTTTTAATTTTATAATAAAATTTACCTATTCAATTAGTTTATCATCTTCAGTGAAAAAAAACAGAAAAAAAACTGATAATTATTTAGTTTGTATGGATAATCTGACGGAAGTCGGGCGCCGAGTATAGAGAAGTCATTATATATGAAAATTATATTTGAATTGATCTCAGCGATTAAAATTTAAATAATTCCAACGTTTCGTCCAGCTAACTTGTCTGGACTTCTTCAGGGTAGAATAATCAAAATCATCAAGCAAACTTATAACGTTTTAACAATCGAATCAGGGCACAGTCATGCTGTTACGCCATGGTTTTTTGCGCACACCTGACATATTGTCGAGGATTTTGGGATGTCGTTATTTATCAAGTATAAACAGTTTTTCCGTCTCACGTTAATTTTCGTAATGTTTGTGCTTGTTACATGACATTTATTGCAGTTTAT